GCTCTATGAAGAGTCCCCTGCTAACAACCCAGGAGAAATTGAGGCCTCCTGACAACAGCCACATGAATGAGTCCTCTAAACAGTTTCCCAACCTCAATAAAGCCATTAGATCACTGTAGCCACAGATGACATCTTCAGTGCAATTTCATGAGATCCCAGCCCAGTATCACCCGGTTTAGCTGCTCCCGAATTACTGGTGCACAGACTGTTTAATATAATAAATCTGAATTCTTCAAAGTTACAAAGTTCTGAGACCAAACTCTTACACAGTATTAACTAAGTAATACAAAGGGTCTTCAAAATGAATATTATGGAAAAACTCTGCATAGATTTCAAAAAATTTTGCACCAAAAAAATCTTTTAATACCACAAACCTTATGGAATCAAACACATAATAAGAAAGATGACAATTCTGTATGTCATCCAACCTAGAAAATGGTTCACTTGAAAAGAGCTTCCAGGACAGATGATAGAAAATATCCTCAAAAAATAAGAAGTCAATGGCATGTGCTGTGCAGTCAGTAAACAGGACTTCCCAAGCTTTCAAGCTGCAATTTGGGTATTTTTTTTTTTTTTAATTTGATAGTTAGCTATAGGCAGTGAAAGAGAGAGACAGAGACAAAGTTCTTCCTTCCATTGGTTCACTCCCCAAATGGCTGCCAAGGCCGGCGCTGCGCCTATCAGAAGCCAGGAGCCAGGTACTTCCTCCTGGTCTCCCATGTGGGTGCAGGGGCCCAAGCACTTGGGCCATCCTCCACCAGAGAGCTGGACTGGAAGAGGAGCAATTGGGACTAGAACCCAGCACACATATGGGATGCTGGCACCACAGGCAAAAGATGAACCAAGTGAGCCATGGCGTTGGCCCCTGGGCATAATTTTTTTTAAAGATTTATTTAATTATTTGAAAGTCAGAGTTACACAGAAAGAAGAGAGGCAGAAAAAGAGAGAGAGAGAGACAGACAGACAGACAGTCTTCCATCCGAAAGTTCACTGCAATTGGCCGCAATGGCCGGAACTATAGCATTCCAAAGCCAGAAACCAGGAGCTTCATCTGAGTATCACACATGGGTGCAGGAGCCCAAAAACTTGGGCCATCTTCTACTGCTTTTCCAGGCCATAGCAGAGAGTTGGATCAGAAATAGAGCAGCTGGGTGTCGAACTGGCGCCCATATGGGATGCTGGCACTTCAGGCCTGGGTGTTAATCCGCTGTGCCACAGCGCCAGCCCCTGGGCAATATTTTTTTATAATATTTGCAACGTAAACTTGCTCTGAAGAGCTGAATTAAGTGACTATCTGGCATTCCTGAATAAACAAACTTCCATTTATGTAAGCAACACTCGACATTTATGGAGGACCATTTGACAAACTGCTGATAATATAAACTGGCTCTATAGGCCATATCAAGTATTATTTCTAATTAAATGTTTGTTTTCACTTAAATTTCAAGTTCGTAAGAAAAATAACTTTTTTTCTTTCTGGCCGATGCCGCAGCTCAATAGGCTAATCCTCCACCTGCGGCACCGGCACACCGGGTTCTAGTCCGGGTCGAAGCACCGGATACTGTCCCTGTTGCTCCTCTTCCTGTGCAGCTCTCTGCTGTGGCCCGGGAGAGCAGTGGAGGATGGGCCACGTCCTTGGGCCCTACACCCGTATGAGAGACCAGGAGGAGCACCTGGCTCCTGGTTTCGGATCAGCGCGGTGCGCTGGCCTCAGCACACCGGCCTCAGCGGCCATTGGGGAGCAAACCAATGGAAAAGGAAGACCTTTCTCTCTGTCTGTCTCTCTCACTGTCCACTCTGCCTGTCAAAAAAAAAGAAAAGAAAAAAAAGAAAAATAACTTTTTTCTTTCTAAAATGACAAGATACTGACTCTGACCCCTCATCATTCATTAAATCCTACCCATACTTAGAAGCAGGCACTTAGCCTAGCAGTTAAGATGTGCAAGTCCTACATTGGAGTACCTGGGTTCAATTCCCAGCTCTCGCTCTTGGTTCCAGTGTCCTGTCAATGCAAGACTCTAAGAGTATCTCATGAGAAACCTGGATTGATTTGGTGGCTCTCAGCTTCAGCTCTGGCCCACTCCCAGATGTTGGATGTTTCGGGAGGTGAACCAGCAGATTTTAAAAATGCGTATCAGGGGACCGGTACTGTGGAATGGCTATTGCCATGTGTGTGTAAAGCTGTGTAAAGCTGCTGCCGTGCTCGCATCCCATATGGGTGCCAGTTCAAGTTTTGGCTGCTCCACTTCTGATCCAGCTCTCTGCTATGGCCTGGGAAAGCAGTTGAAGATGGTCCAAGTCCCTGGCCTCTGCGACCACATGGAGATCCAGAAGAAGCTCCTGGCTCCTGGCTTTGAATTGGTCCTACTCCAACCATTCTGGGGAGTGAACCAAAGGATGTAAGACCTCCCCTCTCTCCCTCACTCTTTCTCCACCTCTGCCTCTCTGTAACTCTGCCTTTCAAATAAATATATTTTGAAAAAATTAGGTATCAAAATTGGAGTCATGTTAATAGAATGATCCTAGAAAAGATACATGAGAGTACATTTAGACAGTTTCTACAGTTCTATATAAGATTTAGCATAGAATTTAACATAGAAACAAACAACTAACATGTTAATAACTTAAAAATAAAAGCAAATCCAAAATAAAGGAAGATAGAAATTTAATCTTACAAACCATCACTTTGAACATATTCTTAAAATTTATAATTAAGAGTAAAATAAAAGTCTAGAAAATTCCTTCTTTATAAAGTAAATATAAATCCCTTCATGTAATAAATCTCTTCAATAGCAAACAAGGAAATACTACCTTAAATACAAAATAAAATTACATTGATATACAAATTTGTATGTGGGTTCTTTGATTTTAAGCAAAGTTTTCCTGGACCCATTTCTACATGATTCTAGTCTTTTTTTTAATCTAAATGTAGGAAATCTACTAATGTAAAATATCATGGAATGAGACAAGGAATGCTACGTAGCAGTATATTACTTTGCTCCCCTCCAATACATGTAAATCCGTTATCTCTATTAACAGACTTAGGTGAACTTCATATTCAGACATAAATTTAACATATAAATGAGTTTAGCTCCAGGTAAATAAAAGAAAACAAATAACTATGCCAAGGCAGAATAAAAGAACTTTCTCTTCTTCATAGTTTTTTATTTTTAATAAAAGGTCAGAATCTGTAAGTGTGCAGAGCAAGACTTTTATAGACATCAATAAAGACTAAATACTCAGGAAATACGATAGAACTGTGTGGACAAGGAAAGACGTTAGAAAATTAGCATACATTGCTGCTCCTGCCCTTAGTAAATATATTCTTCATCACCACAAACATTGGTATACAGTATGTTAATAATTCCTTCCTAAGGGTACAAATGATCCTTAAAAAAAACGGCCCTCTCCTGAAAAAACTACAGTGTGAATACAACATTTGCAAAAGGAAATGCATCAACAAAAACATGAGTTGCAAAAAGAGGGAAAATGGCTCATTAAAAAAGCAAAAGATACACAATGCATTAATAATACCACATAAATAAATCTATATATATGAATGTATATGTACATATGTACAATTATATCTCCAAACTCTACCTTTTTCAACCCTAAGGAAAACAAAGGTATGGCAAATCTAAACTTTGATAGTAAACAGAGAAGAGAGTGAGTGGTAGCCGTCCTGCTTTCCTTCCCTAGACCCTAGGCTTGTCCTAAGGTGTGAATATATTTAGCAGCAAGAAGACATAGGGCTGTGAATTTTGCAATCTGGAGTCTAATGTAAAATTAAAAAAGAAAATGGTTCCAAGTGACATTTTTCAAAGGATTAAATTCTTGGAAACACATATGTAAACGGAGCTTCATTCAAAGGGTCAATGCAAGCCCACTCACTGTGTTTCTATATATACTGATATTAGCTACACACAAATTGTATATGTATCACACAAAAACTACAAGGCCACAAAAAATATATAAATAAGATATAAAACAAAAAAAAAGAAAAACATTAAGGCAAAAGTATCAAAAATTGCTTATGTATATAGTAGCCAAATAAAACAGAATGGAAAAGTTAAAACAATATCATATTCATAAAAAATAGTAGCTTACCAAGATTTTAAAATTAACTAATTGAGGGTCCAGCACTGTGGCGTAGCAGGTAAAGCCACCGCCTGCAGTGTCGGCATCCCGTGTGGGCACCAGTCCAAGTCCCAGTTGCTCCACTGATGATCCAGCTCTCTGCTATGGCCTGGGAAAGCAGTAGAAGATTGCCCCAGACCTTCAGCCCCCACACCTGCATGGAAGACCTGGTAGAAGCTCAGTCGTTGCAGCCATCTAGGTAGTGAACCAGCGGACGGAAGACCTCTCTCTCTCTCTCTCTCTCTCTGTAACTCTGCCTTTCAAATAAATAAATAAATCTTTAAAAAAACAATTAACTAAATGATTTGAAAGGCAGAGAGACAAACAGAACTCCCATCCTCTGGTTCATTTTCTAAATGCCTGCAACAGCTTATGTTGAGCCAAGCTGATGCCAGGAGTTCAGTTTAGGTCTTTCACATGGGTGGCAGGAACTCAATTACTTGAGCCCATCACCTGATTCTTCTTAGAATGTGCATTAGCAAGAAGACACAATCAAGAGTGAAGCTGGGACTTGAACCCAGGCACCAAATGCTTACCTTGTCAAACCTAGATTTAAAACAAATTATGGTACATGTTGATAAAGATGAAAGTAAATTATAAAAATAAAAAATAAAATACCAATCAAAACAAAGCCACTGTTAATTAAGGCAATTTTACCATTTGCCTCAAATGATCTTAGTATGAAATCATAACCAATAATGTTAGTGGCAGTGTACTGAAAGCTGGTTATCATACTATTTTCCACTGAGACCTAGGATATATCTTCCTATACTTTGGAACTTCCATGGGTAGAAAGAAAGGAGAAACTAAATGAGCTGGTTCTAGAAGCCTTCCTCTCCTCCTTTATTTGTTCTATATTTCAGAATGCTACCTGAGATTGATCTGAAACAGAAGCTTCCCAGCCACTCCTCTACTCAAAACGTCTACTATTTCACAATATTATTAAAGCCCAACTGTTCACAATATTATAAAACCTAAAAACTACTGGATGAAATTATTTGGTGAATCAAATAGGAGAAACCATAATTTGGTATTACTAATTTCTTATTATCTCTTCTTCACAATTTATCTTCACCTCTAAATAGACTTCATTTACTGTATAAAACTATAAACTTGTAAAGTATAAAGATATACATCTACAAACTACTGAAAGGCAGGACTGCCTATTTCATAGTACCCTCAGCATAATCCACAGATGATTTTGGTGTTTAGTATATGATGTAATTGTATAGCATACCTACTCTTTGATGGAGTACCCATTGTATGAACCATCTCAAGAATAAAAGCTGTTTTGCTCCCACTGTGATACATTTCAAAGTGCGTCAGCATGTGTGCCTGTGTGTTGGCTCAAGCATTAGAGCCTGTGAAAGAGGTGCCTCTCAACTCTGGGAAATAAATTCTTTACAATTTCCCTATTAAGAATAAGAATATGGCATTTGTCTTTTGAAAACATGAACAACCCTACTGAGGTCTACAAATAAAACAGTACAATATAATGCTTCTTTTTGCTCTTAAAAGGCAAAAAAAAAAAAAAAAAGCAATGGTATGACAAAAGGACATAACAACTCTGAGAAAATCTGCAAGTGCTATTCCCTTTCATTGTTACTGACATTTTCTGAAAGGTACATGTTTTTTTATTTCAGATCACCTGAAATAAAGCCTTCATAGGAGTAATGTTTTACCTCCAGTTCTATACTGTGTGCATTTTAAAAGTGCATTGCATTGAAAATATAAAAATTTTATCTAAAATCCTTTATCTGATTACATGAGTCAAATAATAATCCATTTTTATGAAACTAAAAATCTATATTAAGAGGAAAAAAGATATCCTCAGAGATGAAAATGAGTAACAAAGAATTTGGGGAAACCATACCTCGTCAGTGTTGTAGATAATCTGGAGTCCTGAGGAAATCATTTCCACAAGGTAAAGGAGATAGAGGGACACTGCATTTATCTGAAAGGTCACAGTGAGTACAAAACTATGTTATGAAATCAAACGTTAAGGCTAAAATTACAAGTCATTTGTTCTAATACTGTCATTTAAAAACCATTTCCTGTGAAATAAAGGAGCTGTGGATTTAGTTCTTAATAAAATGATTTTAAAGCTTCACATGTAAAATTCTAAAATCCTCAAATTCACTGTATCAAGTCACACTTGATGAGGGAAATGGCTGCAAGTAGAACTATTGACAATTATCTCTATAAGATGTCTGTTCGAAGATTTACTTTCAAACTGTGGGTCTAATGCTACTTTTACTTTGGAACAGTTTTGCCCCAGAGGAAGAATGGAATTTCAATCCATCTCAGATACAGGTGAATGAAAAATGCATTTGGCAAGCAAGACCTTATCATGACTATGCCAGTACACCATAAGCAAAAAGCTGTGCATCTTGAAAAGTTTCTTATCTTCAGAGAATACAGAATTTATGTAAACTGCAGGAACACACTCATTATAATCAATGTAGAACATATAAAAATTAAAATCAATTTATGAATGGAGTCTTATGAATAAATGAAGTCTACTGTTAGTTTATTAACTCACTAAAAGTAGAAATTATGTGATCTAGACAAAAACATAAAGACAAACATATCCACTTTTCACTTTAATGAAAAAAGAGTCTCACAGAATCTTGAATGGAATGTTTAAACTGTCTCAGGTAAAGGAAGAGGAAAGATAGATACCACAACATGGACAAATCTTGTGTGATCATTAAGTTTAGTTCTCAACTTGACTAGATAAAGGAATACCCACACAAAGCTGTAAAAGGTAATTGCTGGGTGTGTCTGTGGAGGTTCTTCAGAAAAGACAGGCCTATGAACCAGCAGACTAGTGAGGAAGATCCACCCTTAACATGGGAAGACATCATCCAATTGGCTGGGGGCCCAGATGTTAAAAAAAAAAAGGCAAAGAAAGAACAAATTCTTGCTTTCTCTCTGCTGGAGCTGGAATACTCTTCATCTCCTGCCCTTGGACCCCTTCTCCAGCTTTTGGACCCTGTTGAACCCCACTTGAGGTTATGGGGTTTTCAACTTCTGACTGAAAGTTATCAGGCTGTCAGATCTGGACTGAACTATACTACCAGCATCCTTGGTTTCTAAGCTTGCAGATGGCCTACCACAGGACACCCCAGCCTCCACAGTCCCAGGAACCAATTCTTCCAACAAATACCTCTTATATATCTTTATATATACCTTTGTATTGGCTCTAAAAATCTCTCTGGAGAACCCTAACACATTTTGAAAATACTACACTAAGTTAAAGACACCACTTCCAAAAGTTCATAAATTATATAATCCCAGTTAAATGAATGTCAAGAATTGGCAAATCCATAAAGAGAGAAAGTAGACTGGTGTTTTCCCAGGACTGTGGGTTTTGGGGTTTCTATTGAGGTGATAAAAATGTTCTAAGATTCATTGTGATAACTTTGTGAATATACTAAAAATACTTTAAATAGGTAAATTATGTTATTTGATTTATATCTCAATAAAGCTATTATTAAACAAGAAAAAAAGACAGTAGAAAATTGTACCCAGCAAAATGCAAGCCTGAGTTTAAAATTGAGAGAAAGTAAGATGGAATTTGTCCCTGAACAAGTCTAACATAGAAACGTGTTACCCTCACAGTCTTGGCGGCTCTTTCTCCCTTGACTCTTCTCCAATCCTTTCTGAGTGACTGACAGCAACTTCTTTGTGCCCTAGAAGTCTTGCACAAAGCAGCCCACGTGCCACTAGGGCCTGGCCTTTCTGGTGGGCCTGTCAGGAACCTGGCCTATCCTGGATGTGTCCCGACTTCTCAGTACTCAGAGTCCAGTGAGTGTCAGGGCCTTGTGAAGGTCCACGTGGGCCACACAAGAAGACAGTTGTTCTGGTTTTAAAGTCTGAGATTTACATGAACTTTTGAGTGACCTTCACCAACACAGTGGAGAAGAGTTTCACCTCAATGCCAGCCTCCCTAAAGTATCTTCTCACGGCATTGACACTGGCTGGTCAGAAATGACTTCAAAGAAATTTCATTTCAGTAGGCAAAACTTACAGAACAACTCTGAAAGCTCTGTATTCTGACTTTGTGGATACATCTGTGAGAAAATGTCACTAAGTGGCAAATTGTGAAGGGACCACCAAAGTGGGCTGATCAATATTTATGTAATACCTATTATATACCACACAGTGAGTGTAAATTGAGGTATATTAAAAAGATGAGCTTCTACCTTTTGAAATTCCCATGTAAATATGTTTGTCAAAACAAAAAGTATATAAATTCTAATTGTTCTAGTTACAAGGTTAGGACTGAAAAACTATTCATCTGATACAAATTCTCCATGGAAATGCTGACAAATATGTACAAGTGCTTCTGTATATAGAAGCAGGACCTCTGTACAAGGTTTGAAGGAGACATATTAAAGTAAGACATCTCAGATCTTTAGAGAAAGGGGACTATGTAAGGAAGACATTCTTACCAAATGATAAGCAGGAATAAAATGTATTAAAGATGTAACAGGATGTCCTACTAACAACAATACACAGATGTGAGAGAGTGAAAAGCAAAACACAGAATCCTACAGTATATTTTAAAGCATAAGTAAAGTTTATGATCTGACATATACAACAAAACTTATGGATTCACAAACGCTTTTTTGGCATTCAAGTGGTATGCTTTTAGCTTTACCAATGGTTAATATATTATAAAAGGAACTGGACATTACAAAAACTTCTGATTTGCTGTTTTACCACTGTCAGTCGTTTTTTATCCTTGTTACTAAGTACTGAAATCATTTTAAATTTATTAATAAGTAAAAACTTTGGTCATTAAAAAAAAAACTTTAGGCATCGTTCTTCTCAACAATCCATCCAGTTCCCATTATGCTGGAGGACCAGGAACTGGATCAGATATAATGTACAATCACAGTAATTCACTCAGATCTGGTGGTTAGCATTTCACTTTCTTCTCCATTTCAGGGTTCATTTTATACTTTTATTCTGAAGACTTATGAAACTTAATTTCTCTAGAAAAATACACAGCTGTAAATCTTCTATGCTATCAAGTATAAAAAAACCTTTTTACCTGAAGATGACCATATTCCTCATAAGACAGCAATTCATCTCCTGTATGCACATTGAAAAGAGAGTGAAGACACGTTGTTGGGCGTGGATCCTGCTTAAACTGCTGGACCTGTGATCAAACATAAAATGCAGATAAGGTTAATAATTTACATATTCATCCAAGACTAGTGAGCATGCTATTTTTCATGAAATGTTTTAATAAAGAAATCTCAGGCAGAGGACCTAACAAGGCAGAAAGGTGACCGCTTCCAGAGAAGCAACACAAACAAAGCTCACAACTACTAATTTAAGGGAGCTAACATGTCAATTACTACTTCAGCAGCATACCAACTCAAGTGTAAAAGAGAGGACTTTAAGGGAGAAGCAATGGCTTTTGCAATGTTTTGAATCTTATTTTATTTTGGAGTAAAATATTGGTTTACTTTGTGAAACAGGATTTTATGATTGTTTTCCACCATGCTGTTACTTGGAAATGCTTACATGACACTCAGAATGAAAAAGTACTTGAGACCATATTCTTACTTGTAAATGTCCAAACTTCAAATGCGATTTCTTTATCCAAGGATCACAAATTTTTTTTTTTTTAATTTTTTGACAGGCAGAGTGGACAGTGAGAGAGAGAGAGACAGAGAAAGGTCTTCCTTTGCTGTTGGTTCACACTTCAATGGCCGCCGCAGCCAGTGCACCGCACTGATCCGATGGCAGGAGCCAGGTACTTATCTTGGTCTCCCATGGGGTGCAGGGCCCAAGCACTTGGGCCATCCTCCAATGCACTCCCGGGCCACAGCAGAGAGCTGGCCTGGAAGAGGGGCAACCAGGACAGAATCCGGCGCCCCAACCAGGACTAGAACCCAGTGTGCCGGCGCCGCAAGGCAGAGGATTAGCCTAGTGAGCCACGGCGCTTACCTGATCACAAATTTTAACACAGGCTTCTGTTAACATGTTTTCATTTCCCCTTCTGCATATATTCTCATTACTAAGACACTAATTTTAAAAGAATATAGGTCACATCTTTATTAAAAAGACATAAAATTTATTCTAGAATACTACTACTAAATGATCCAACAGAAAAATGTCATGGACAAAAAAAATTACATCCACTTCCTCAGAGCTTGTTCAATTCTTCTTGGAAAACATGACAATTATGTGTCAAGAACTGTTCTAGCCCCCAGAATAAACAAACAGGGACCCCCCCCCCAAATAGGATATACAGCTCTATGAAAAGACTATGATTTTATTCTCTCTTTGAAGAGATGTTAAGTGATGATGACTACTA